TCTACTTTGTGTGCAGCTTCGTATTTCAGAGCAGGGCCACAGTAGCCAAACACAGTGACATTGGAACTGTGAAACGTTCAGTTCTATAACATTATTTTGTTTCTTCCTCGCCAGCACCACGGGTGTAAAACGACTTATGTCGTCTGTTCTACGTTGATTAATCAAACCTCTTGTGTCTTTAATGAATGAAACAGCTCCATGTCCATCAGAATGGTTAGGGATGCGGAGATGTGCCCTTTGCCGTATTTGTTTTCGCAACGAGTATTGATGCCATGGATGACGTTCTTTCTGTCCAGTACCTGACCATCAATAGAAGCAGTAGTGCCAGCAAGATATTCTGCACGCTTGTTGCCTGAGCTCTAGCATCACCCTGCATTACTCTTGAGTACCCAGCCATGTTCATGATCTAATCAAAAAGTGCTAGGTAATCAAGATAGGCCATTTTAAGGAGGTCTCCGTGACGGAAAATTGCAGCTTCAAACTCTGAAGTTTTTGTGACCATTTTAGAGACTGTTCTTCGTTTCAAGTGTGAGTTTTTACGGAAAAAACGCCAGTGGGGGTGGGGAGGGGGAAGGGGTTATCGCTGAAGCTTCGGATTTTGTGCTGTGGGCAACGATTTCTGCAGGCGACTAACCGTTCTGGGGAAAGAGACTGAGCCCTATTGCATAAAACCCTGTGCAATAAAGTTGATCCTCTCGACTTTAACATGGAAAGGCGAATAGTGGTGGTAGGTACACACTGGAGACTGTGTTGCTTTTGTTTTATGGTCAGCGTTTTCAGTAGCATACATTTATTCCTGCGCATTGGCTGCCAGTATCGACAATCAAATGCTGTACCAGAATCATGTGGCCAAAATATTTATTAAATTAAGTCTTTTTCCAGCCAATCCATGTTTCTTTCCTGTCTACACTTACCAATTTTGAAGCGGTGTCGTGCTGCATATGCAAACAGCGGGGAATGGAGAGTGAGAAGCAACAACGAAATTTATAAACTGTTTAAATCACCATTGATAACTGGCATCATGAGAGCTAATAGACTAAAATGGCTTGGGCATATTGAGAGAATGTCAGATGACAGAGAAGTGAAAACTGTATACACAAGGGAGCTGAATGGTCGTAGACCACGAGGCAGACAAAGAAGACGATGGAGAGATAATGTCCAGACAGACCTGCAAACACTTGGTGTCACCAACTGGAAAGAGAAGGCCAACTAGACAAGATGAATGGAGGCGGGTGATATCTACAGCAATTAACCTCAAGGGTTCAGAATGCTGAAGAAGAAGAAGAAGAAGAAGAAGAAGAAGTAGTAGTAGTAGTAGTAGTAGTAGTAGTAGTAGTAGTAGTAGTAGTAGTAGTAGTAGTAGTAGTAGTAGTAGTAGTAGTAGTAGTAGTAGTAGTATTAGTAGTAGTAGTAGTAGTAGTAGTAGTAGTAGTAGTAGTGCTGCACGGCTAGTGCAGTCGCCATGAACTGTGCAGGTTGGAATTTTTAATTGTGCACTCTACAGAACAAATCTCCATCCTTTAGCAAGGATGCTTAACCTGCCTCCTGTCTAGCGCTATATCCACTCGGCCAGCCGCCCCTCAAACCCACGTGTGCTAGGCCTAATTATGACTCTCTATTTTCACAAAGAATTTCGTTATATACTAACATATAATTTCGTTACATCGTAACAAATAATTTCGGGTTATCTTAACATAATAATTTCGGTATACCCTAACATATAATTTCGGTATATCCGAACTCATAATTTAGCAATCCCGATTTTCTAGTCATGTACGTCAGGCTGCTTTCTCAGCCTCCCCCTTTCCCCTCAGGGAGAAATATTCTCAGCCTCCAAGCCCACAGTCCTGCCTACATATTTTCTAGAGTCTCATCCCAGCCTAAAAATATGTTGTGCAGTGCACGAGCTCAGTGGCACCAGCGAGGATCCTGAGCTACTTTGCGTAGATTTTTAACTCCAAAATTTGCTCGGGCAGCGCCGCTAGGCTACTCTTTTCGATTTCCAACTGCCACGTTGCTCAACAATACACACTGGCGTCCTATCTTACTACCCACAGAACAGGAGAAATTATTAGAAGTTCACATGAAAAAATCTCAGTCTTCACCAGGGCCTGAACTTGGGACCTCTTGCACTCGAGGCGAACGCCGTGCCTCGAGACCATTCAGCCCCTAAAATATGTTTCTCGTTGGACTATTACCTGTTATTTTATTTTAAATAGGCATGAAAAAGTGGGTGTTTGTGTCTTAGACGATGCCAAAGCGCTGCGAACCTGGTTCGATTCAGATGCAGGCCGATTTCTGTTGATTTCAACAACAGTATGGAACCCCCCCCCCCCCCCCCCCCCCCCCCCCCCCCGACACTAGACAACTGGTCAACTAGGCATCCCTGAAAAAAGGTGTCTCATTGGCCATGACTACTGAAAGTAAGGTTGCCTAGTAAAACTAAACAGCCAAAAAATGTTGGAGTTGTGAGTAAGAGAGTGACGCTCAACCCCAACAGGACCTCACGATAGACGATAAACACCCAGTGACATAAAATGCAAACATTTGCATAAGAATCACCCCACCACGTCCCAGAAACATCGTTTAACCGTTGGGTTGTAATAGGACCCCCGAGTTAGGATCTGCCTATCCAAGCATGCAAAGACTACTTTCGGCAGATTGCGCGGAGGAAACCATATTTGGTTTAACGGGCAAGACGGCGACACTAGCAAAACGCTGTGGAGCATGGCGAGGCACGTAGAACGCCCTGGTCATCCACTGCACCTAGACATATCTCCAGTCGTCCTGACCTTGCCTTGCCACTGGACCCAGATATGACTTAGGCGAGAGAGTAAGGTCGACGACACTGCGCAACCCTTCCTTACTTCAATCCAAGTCACCGTGCAAGTCACTCTTTCATCTTCATCACCACCTCTATCTTCGTACTCGATGAAAAAGAGTGGGCATCATCATCTTGATGGACAACAACACACACAATAGGGCCCCCGACTGCGGCCGGGGTTGGACTTGAAAAAAAAAAGGTTGTCCCATATTGGGAGGATGTTGCTGGAGCTGGTACTGCAACGCCCTGCAAAGGCTACGCAGTTAGTTTTTTTTTGGCAAGGTAAATCTGAAAAGAGGCACGTAAACAGATTAACATAACGGATGAGCAGTTGGTGTGTTGACAGATATGCAGACAGCCATGGCCATGCAGACTTTCGCTAGGATGTACAGACAAAAAGGAAAACAAAATATTTGATCGGATACACTTTTGATATTGCCTATTGTTACCACTCTTTGTAATACAAACACATTAGTTTTGCCATCACAAAGCTCATGCGTGCAAGCGATTAAAAAAAAAAGCGCTTATTCTTTATTCATGCCAATACAATGTAAACCATTATTGCTAGAACTCTACACTTCCTTGTGTTGGTTCCGAGGTTCTAAGACTAGACACACTTCCTTGTGTTGGTTCCGAGGTTCTAAGACTAGACACACTTCCTTGTGTTGGTTCCGAGGTTCTAAGACTAGACACACTTCCTTGTGTTGGTTCCGAGGTTCTAAGACTAGACACACTTCCTTGTGTTGGTTCCGAGGTTCTAAGACTAGACACACTTCCTTGTGTTGGTTCCGAGGTTCTAAGACTAGACACACTTCCTTGTGTTTGGTTCCGAGGTTCTAAGACTAGACACACTTCCTTGTGTTGGTTCCGAGGTTCTAAGACTAGACACACTTCCTTGTGTTGGTTCCGAGGTTCTAAGACTAGACACACTTCCTTGTGTTGGTTCCGAGGTTCTAAGACTAGACACACTTCCTTGTGTTGGTTCCGAGGTTCTAAGACTAGACTCACTTCCTTCCTAACAAGTCTGTCGTAAGAGCAGACTAATTAGGGATTTTCCAAAACAAATATGACCACATCTGGCTGAGTGGCAAGGGAACAACACTCTGCATACAAAATCTGTAAAACGGATGTGAATGCTAAACTCAGGTGCTGGGAAAAGACTAATGTCCAGAAAGGGTCAAACCACCAGAACTTTCCGCCGGAGTTTACAGCCGGTGATCGCCAAGAAGAAGAGGAACTCTGCGCTGACTGTTGATAATGGTGGGTCTTAACTCCTGACTCTCATTTTATGCGGCTGTTATATCAGAAAAAAATTACACGTACTATAGTTGTGTGTGTGTGTGTGTGTGTGTGTGTGCCATATTTCTCTCTCTCTCTCTCTCTCTCTCTCTCTCTCTCTCTCTCTCTCTCTCTCTCTATCTATCTCTCTCTCTCTCTAGCGTGCGCGTATGTGTGTTTGTAACATATCCTTGATTCGTCTTTGAAACTGCATGTATTTATTAACGGCGAGTCCACACATTTCTCTAAAACACAGGTATCTACATTTTGTACTTGACATTGGTGTGAACATATGTTTTTTCTTTCCACATGTTTATTTAATTTAGGAGAGGTGTTTTAAGGGAGAATGAAAATGTCTCATTCTCTCTCTCTCTCTCTCTCTCTCTCTCTCTCTCTCTCTCTCTCTTTCCACCCATCCATCCATCCATCCATCCATCCATCCATCCATCCATCCATCCATCCATCCATCCATCCGTCTGTCTGTCTGTCTGTCTGTCTGTCTGTCTGTCTGTTTGTCTATATTTCCATTTCACACACATACACTCTCTCACACATACACATGATCACAGTCTATATTATGTGTGTGTGTGTGTGTGCGCGCGCGCATGTGATACTTCACCTGTCATTTTCTAAAGTGGTCACTGTACTGACGTAGCAGTTGTAAAAATAATAGTAGCATAGTAGTCACTGTTTTTGCTGTTACTGTTTTTTTTTTTTTTTTGTATCAGCAGCAGAAGTTATAAGGTTGTTATTTTTTTTTTTAATCGATTTTTTTTTAATAATTATTATTATTATAGTCGAACTAGATGTCGCAGTCGCCGTGGCTGCTGCTACTGCTGCTCTGGTAGTCGTTGCAACTTACAGAAGTCGACCAAAAAAAAAAAATTTCTTATGATCGTCAGTCTTCAGTTTCTTTATCAATAATGCCTAACTTCAGCCCAATCCACCTTGCCTTGGCCAGAATCTCATCCTGCATCAGAGAAAAGCACATGGAGAGTATAGCCATACCAAACAACACATAAATAGATCCCAGTAGCAACTGGCCTTGCGCCTGGGGGTTATCAAAGTCGGTTCCTGGCACAACGTCTCCAAACCCAATCGTGCTGAGAGTGATAAAGCAGAAATAGGCCGCCTGAAGCCAGTCCCAGCCTTCCCAAAGGCCAAACAGTATGGCTCCACCAAAGATGTATCCGCCAATGACGATTATTGTTATCGTTAGAGGGACTGTTATCTTCTGTTCATCTAGGTCGTCTTCGTCGTCTTCATCGTCGCTGTCATCATTCATGAAGAGGGGGTTCTTTTTCGTCACGTTCAGTGGTACGATCTTGACCTAATAGCAGAGGCAAAACATAAATACACAAAATAAAATAATGCCAAATTATTAACAATAATATCGTTCGTCTAAAATAACCTAGGATATATAAGTTTATTATTTGTAGAATCTACCGCATTTGGGCATATTCTACTCTAAGGGGCAGATGTGTCAGATCCTTTTAGATCATTGCTGCTTTTCTTCATAGGTGGCAGCGGGGATAAGGAAGCAGAAGCAGTGAATGAGGCAGAAATAGTAGTAGTTGTAGTAGTAGTAGTAGTAGTAGTAGTAGTAGTAGTAGTAGTAGTAGTAGTAGTAGTAGTAGTAGTAGTAGTAGTAGTAGTAGTAGTAGTAGTAGTAGTAGTAGTAGTAGTAGTAGTAATAGTAGTAGTAGCAGTTTAATTCTTTTTCTTCTTCTTATTCTTCTTCTTCTTCTTCTTCTTCTTCTTCTTCTTCTTCTTCTTCTTCTTCTTCTTCTTCTTCTTCTTCTTCTTCTTCTTCTTCTTCTTCTTCTTCTTCTTCTTTTCTCCTCCCTCTTTCTCTTCTTGAAGAGTTCATTTGTGCAGCGTTCTTTGCACATGTTGCGACTGCGTTTAGACGAGGCATAGCCAAGAACTGAGCATATAAACAATCCTCGTGATACATCCTACCCAAACTTTAGTATTTTATAGAACAAGTGAGCTAGGCGTCTATTTTTAAAATAGCTAACAGCTTCCATATTCCCGCCTATTATCTACACAAGTAACATAATGTCTCGTTCTAGGGTTAAACTGAGACAACGTCTTACAAGTTAATGTGTGTTATTTACATAGGAGTTTTGTCTTGAATTCTTAGTGTACCTTATGGTAGAGTTACTCCAATATCAGTTATAGGTTTTAGAAGAGTTCAGCTTTATGTCTGCCTAAGAAGGCTAACCCGGTCAACACATCCCTGCAGAAGTCGGATGTGTCGGCCAAAGGTGCAAATATCGCAGCCATGCTGTAAACGGGTACAACGCAATTACATCTTCGGCTGAACGAAGCAGAAGGAGAAGGCTTTCTATGTGCAATCTCATTGATTTTCCAACCGTGGCCATCCATACATCCATTTATGTAAAACAAAACACAAAAAATTGACCTCGTTCAACCTAGTGCAGGCAGTATCGGTTACAATTGTAGTCGGGTTTATTTGTGCCGATTATGTTGGCTAAGAAATGTTAATTGCACCAAAGCCAGTTATTTGGAGCGGTACCTAGTTAGGGCTGTTGGGGAGGGGGCTGCTCGTGTGGATAGGTATACACATGCGCTCACGCCCACGCGGGAATTTATGCACACGTGTTTGCTTACACACATACATATGCATGTACACATACACTCAAGGCAGACCCCGTAGTGCAGTCGCCAGATGCTCGCCTGCGGATAATAAGGCCTTGGGTTCAGTCTTGACGTAGCTGGTTTCTAGTCTGGGTCTTAGTTAGTTAGTTAGTTAGTTGGGTTATCCTCATTGCACTCCGGACATGTCCATAGGTGCTCAGATCCTCCCCTCAGTATGAACCCCAACGTCCGATGGCTAATAGTACCAGTTCTATGTTGATTAACAAGTCTTCTGGCGTGTCTGGTGTGCGTCTCGTTTTTTGCTGTGCCGATCTTAATTCCCAAGTCTGCCATTCTGGCGAGTGATGTGGATTCACTGCCACCAAAGTCCTCTATCCTTCCCATTTCTCTGAGGGCATTTATAATATCAGCATGATCCATAGGCTGACCTTCGGTAGTGATAGCGGATCCAGCCAACCTGTCAGCTCTTTCATTTCTATCGACGCCTGCGTGTCCCGGGAACAAAAATAAAGGTGACTCCACGCACTGGGTCTTTTGGCTTGTACATGTGACACCTTCTCAATATCCCTACTATAAGGGGATAGTTAAGCAGTCTTGACCCGTTTAGGTTGTTTCACACAATTTAATTCCTTCTCCTTTATTATTCTCCTTCCCCAGATCCTTTTTCTCATCTCACGGTCGTGGAAGGCAGGACGTAAATTTGCCGAGCAAGTTGCCTACCTCCGAGTCAGCACAAATACGCAGCATCCACTGCATTGTGAAAGTAGGAAGAAACAGGCCAGCAGGTTAAAAAGAGTCAAGCCGAGGACATTATTGAACAGGTGTGTTCCCTTGAGAACATAGAAAAGTCTATACAAATGCCAACAATGTTGTACGTTCTTTTTTATTGTGCGTCCAATAGATAGAAAATGTAGACACAATCTGAACGCTGTGGAGTCGGAAGTACTGGTTTTGATTATCGAGAAGTCTTTAAAGACGATGATATTATTTCCTCGTCAGCTTTTTCCTTGGTTGGAAACTCAACACAACTGTCTGGTACCCATTTCCATTGATCCGGGTCGACCGTAAGGCTTTACCGACCGTAAAGAATAACCCTGTCTTCGTTGTATATTGAACCCAGACCACTGTCTTGACAGGAAAGCGCACTACTCCCTAAAAAAGGGCTTAGGTCGAAAGGATTGACTTCACAGTCCCGGATTTTATATCATATGGCTTGACCTCTCTCCACAGACCAACTAGCCGTCTAATTAGAGCAAAGAACCACAGGGGTCCGTGTTTATAATTGCATTTGAGAACCGGCTATGAAAAAAAAACCCGAGACCTCAGGAGCGAAAGGCAAACTGCTTGACCATTTCACAGATACCCTAATGCTAATGTAGCTTTGTATCATAGATGCCAGAATCTTGGCGCTCCTTGAGGGCCCCCTTCCCAACCCCCACGCGCTTTCAATGACTTATTTTTAGTAGCGGTGTCCTCTGTTCCTTTCCCATCCCCTCTTCCACCACACATAGACGTTCTCTTTTTAAGAATTCGTCTACGAATTTCATATTTCAAATATACTGTTATATTTATGTGCCACCGTTGTCTTAGTAAACGCGCGCCTGCTCTATATAGTGATCCTTACCTTTCCAATACCAAAAGTGTTTTTCGAAGATTTTGAATCTAGTCTGTCTTCGCTGGAGTCCATACTTCCAGTCGATGATCGTGACTTCAGGTTAGAGAACTCTGTCGACACAGATGCATGTCGATCTTCTGAAAACAATTTATCCTTTAGTAACAGTTATCACGCAGTTTGCATCAACGTGTTTGTTATCAGTAGTTAATGCAGGAATCAGCCATCTGCTTAAGCATGGTACTGAAAAGCATGTGCCTTGAAAAAAAAAATTAATAAAACCGCTGCGAAGCATCAGTCCATAGTAAATGAGATAAGCTAAGCCCTGAAAATCAAAATGTAAACACATTTTTAGTGCATAAAATGTGCTATAACAATGGTGGGGTGTGCATGTAAGGGCTGAAATCGTCGCTCACACTTTTCATTAGGAAAAAAAAATGCATTATTTTACTTTTTACTATTAACTATTTATTGCAATTGCGCCATTCGATTTACGTCTTGACCATAAAGATTCAAACTGCGCACTCACACTCTCAACAGTGAAGAAACAGGCAGGAAAATATCACGTAATATTCTCTCCAGTGTAATCGTTACCTGATAACGCTTACACGTGCGAACTGATCATGTCTTGCCACTGATGCTTTTCTGGGTAGCGGGTATTTTATGCAGAAGAGGGCTCATCTCGTTTTCTCCACTCGGTGCTCGTATACTATACATAATGTGTTGATGCGAAGTGTTAACAATGGGCGCCCGTTTGTTTGAACGCGAACCCTTATAGCACCGCCAGCTCCAGAAATAAGGCTGACAGTTCAAATGGGAATTCCTGATTTTGTAAGGCTGGGTGGCCGGACGGTGGTAACAATTGTCATCGAGTAGATTTATACACAAATTGAACTACAATTTAATTAATTTGGAACATGTGTTATTAAATGAATTATTATTTTGAAGACAAATAAATAGGCTATTAGAAAATATTTATCGTCAAAATGAGCTTAGAGTTATTCCTTCTGCCCATTGTTTACATGGTAACTCTCTTTTCCGATATAAACTAAGTATAGACATCATCGTTCGCTATGGTGTAATTATCGCAGTTTATTAAATAGCAAAATTACTGAAATTGTTTGCTATCATCATGTAGCAGGTCCGTTGCAGAACGTGACTTTCATCAATGCCTACCTGAAAGAAATTCGGTCTCACGCCAGCTTTCCCGCCTCGTGCACTTTCATATTCAAGAAGTTACTTATATCAGGTAACCATCTTTGCGTTGGTCGGCCCCTACTCCTCCTTCCTGGTACCACGCCTTTTGTAATTTTTTTTTTTTCAAATCCGCCATGGCGCTTGATATGAACAAAATATTTTAAGCTGCCGAGACAGGAGTTATTATTTTTATTCCTGTTATTTATTATTTATTCTAATTATTAAAATCCTGCACATCTACTACCTCCACTGTCTCTCGGATTTTATAATTTCTAATCTTCTGTCTCCTTATTATAGCGAGTATTTTATTCAAGATTCACATGAACTGTGTTGAGCTGAGTCAAGAATTGTCATGACAGCACTTGGGGCATTACCTTGCGTGCTACGTGCCCACCTTCCGCAGCCAGCGCAGAGTTCTAATACTAATGGCACCGGTCGTAATCTGGTTATATGTCCGTCTTGCCTTTCTGCGGAGCGTAGTGAGCCGGCCAGACCCTCTGGTTTTATCTCATTATTATTACCGAGGTGTAACTAGAGGGTCAAGATTCACATCTCAGCATGTAGTCTTTAGAACTGTATTTTCTACTCTTTTTTCCCCCCTGACATGTATTCTATCTTGTATTTGAAAGTTTAGTTAAATCAAAATGATGTCAGTGAGAATTCGTATTAATAATCGGGTCACTAATCTCGTTTTACAGCAGTCTGCAGCATTCATACATTTCTATGGATAGATGCTACTTCTTTCCAGTTCTTCGGGTTCACAAGATGTAAACATAGGCGGAAAGTCTCTAGTTATTCGCCTACTTCTTGACTTTGGTCTTAATCCGGGACTTGATTTTTTCGCGCACATTCGTTTTACAAATCTGATTTATTTGTATGTATGCTGATGGTTCCTAGCCTCTCATGCAGATGCACGACATGCAACCAACAGAGATGGGTGCTACGATCAGTGCCGTCTAAATGTAGGAACTGGATATGATGTTGCTCGCGGCCTAATTGGTATAAAGACTCTATATCTAGTATACTGATAATTCAAGTTCTTACTGCTGTGAGGGATCGATGCACTGCTTTGTCGGGGGCCCCATGTAGCTGTTAAGACTGTACTGAGTGCCACTGGCCTGCAAATGTTTCTCACAATTGTATGCTTCTTACAAATTATGCATTTGTGAAGTTAATCTTCACACGTCAGTATCAATCGATTTACATTTTCTGCGTCACTACTTTTCTGTCACTTCTCTTTTGGTTTCACTTCTCTTTGTGTGACACTTCTCTTTGTGTGTCACTGCTCTTTGAGTCACTTCTCTTTCTATGTCACTTTTCTTTCTGTGGACCTTTTCTTTCTGTATCACGTCTCTCTCTGTGTGTCACTTTTCTTTACATGTTCGATCTCTTTCTTTCTTCTCTGTTTGTGTCCATTCGCTTTCTATGAACTTGCTCTGTGTCAGTTCTCTTTGTATTTTACTTTTCTTTTTGTGCTACTTCTCTCACTATGCTCCGTCTCTTTTTACGTCCTTTCTATTTCTTTGTATCTTCTCCTGTCATGCCCCTTCTGTTTCTGTGTCTCTTCTGTTTCTGTCATTTGTCACTTCTTTTTCAGTGTCATTTCTCTTTCTGAGTCTCTTCGATTTATGTCACTTCTCTTTCGGTGTGATTTCTTCCTCTGTGTCCTTTCTAAATTGGTCTCATCTCTCATTCTGTGTCAGTTATCCTATTTCGTTTCTCTTTCTTCTGCATCAGTTTGTTTTCTGTGTTATTTCTCTCTCCGTGGCACATTTTCTTTTTATTACACTAATGGGAGTAAACGGAATACGGTGTTGTTGAATATTTGATATATTCACATAAAAGTTGACTTTATTTGCGATCCAATAGCTAGGATTGATTGAATCGGAGGAATACGGAAATAGTACATTGCAAATCTGCAAAGGTATATTCTACAGGATAATAATAATCATGTGTGATTTCTCTCTTAACTTGTCCCATAAACACAATATATCTGGCATCGAATGCATTTAAGTTGGAGTTAGAATTTACATCTAAAGACAGTTGCTATAGGAGACGGGGCATCTCCGGGTATGCCCAGTGTGCTATGACGTCGATTTTTAATTCGGTAAAGAAATCAAATTTGAGAATCCAGACAGAAATATTCGGAAAATCTAGAGGGTGTCAATTGTTTCAAACTGGAAATAAATATCAAGCGTCACCCCATTAAGCAACAAAAAGACCACCCCCACCCCACCCCCCCCCTCCCCTTCCACCGAAAATGTATAACCACTTAAGAAAAAAAATGTAATAACAATTCTTTATAGAATCAAGGGATGGCTGCAAGTTTACTTTGGTTTTATTATAATTTTACAGTTTTCTTTATTACTGCAGAAACGTTTGTCTTTTCGGTATTCAGAATCTGCTGCTCTTTAGTGTGTTACCCTTCCCAATGACCAATGTCCTGTAAAGGAAATGATCTGTATCAATAGCAACTCTTATAACCCACCTTGCAGTCCGCTATGTCTATCAGCAATGGCTGGCATAACACGGATATCTCTCATACACACATAATATTTTGTCATATCCCTGTGAGATGCAATTTTTCTCTATTTTGAAGCCCCACCCTGGCTCTTGCCATTGGCCGCAATATAGCCTGACCATAAATATGGTCTATTGGCTGAACGTGGTTTCTGGGACCTCTCCACGGTGATCCTCATCCACATGGTGGTACTCAGAGTCATCGGGTGTTTATCGCTTGTGTGATGTCCTGGTGGGGTAAAAATCTACTCTACTACTACCACACACATGTAATAACAATAATAATATTTTCCCTGAATATGAAATGTTTAAACAAATACTTTGGGGAAACGTCTAAACGAATTGCTACTTCCTAAATATTATTGGGGGGGGGGGGGGGGTGTCAGTCCCTAAAAATGTTTTTTTTTTTGGGGGGGGGGTATAGGGGAGGGGGGAGAACAGGATTGGTGGAGGGGCGACCTCAAAGTGCCTGAGTCCCCAGGTTTCGATGTCTATGCACGCTGGCACCGTAATTCAATCTAACTTCGAACAAGTCCCCAAATGACACGTGTTAAAATGTGTATACATTATTTTTTCGTACTCTATAAAATCACGAACATTCTACTCCAGAATCAACCTGTGGCTGAAGTCTACCTATACTTAAACATCTTACCTGCAATAATATTGCTCTTGTCTACAGTCCACTGCCTGCTCTTGTTGCTGTCAAAATGTTTCATCTTCACCACCTTGGTAATGATAATTCAAAAGGAAAAAAGTATACTCAACTAACCTTATTTATGTGCATGCTGACAATGTCATGAATATACGCACAGCTGTCATGACTGTATATGAGACATAACTGGACTGTATACGAAAATATACATCTGCGATATGTTGACTGTATAGTTTTGGTAGTTGAAAATGAAATATAACAGCAAGACATAATTGATATTATAAAAGAGGAAATGGGCGAAAATTACGAGGTAGACCAAAACAAAATAGAAAGATAATATAAGAGAATCTCTATAACAGCACGATGTAATGTGGTCAAGGGGAGCGGCCAAAAGAGCAATTTGCAGAACCGTATATCTCCCTGTCCGCGACTGTGGCTTTTATTTTTTTTTTAATCAGAAGCCATGAGTTGTTAACCCTTAGGCTCGGTATTATGGATATCGCAACCTTTCGGCCTTGGTTCTATTGTAAATACCGTAAATCTGGGAGAAATGTGGCTTTTCTGCCTACCCCCGGGAGTGAACCCGGACCACAAGGAGTTAGTCACCCGGTCTCCACGCAATCCGGTTTAGCCAACTACGCTAGAGAGCCGGGCATGACTGTGGCTTAGGCGTTGCGAACGCGATTCCTAATGCCGGTGTGCAGGTTTCGATCCCAGCTTCGGGCCTTGCGCCTTGCGTTGGTTTCGACCGTGGTATCGAGAAGGCGACCGTCCAGAAGCAATAACAAACTTATGTTTGGTTAGTTGCGTATCCTTTACAGGACGTTGCAGAACCAACCACAACAGCTGTTGTGTGGTTTTTCTATGCAAATGTATGTCCAGTAGTTTGCTTTCTGGACGGTCTGCTTTCTTGATATCACTGTCGAAACCAACGCAGGTCATAATAACACACTAAAGTTAGTTGCGTATCCTTTACAGGACGTTGCAGAACCAACCCTAACAGCCCCTGGCTGTTGTGTGGTTTCTCTAGGCAATTTACATCCAGTAGTTTGCCATTGCCTCTGGACGGTCGGCTTTCTTGATACCACTGTCGAAACCAACGCAAGGCGCATTGCCCGCAGCTGGGATCGAACCTGGCATCCCGGCATTACGAAGCGAAGCGTTCGTATCGACTTAGCCACAGAGCCGACTTAATAACACACTACTGGATGTAAATTTGCCTAGAATAGCCAAAAAATGCTAGGGATGGTTCCCCAACGTCCTGTAAAGGATACGCAGTTAACTTTATATCTTCCTTGATAGACGAAGCAGTAAAAGAGGAAGTGAAGAAAAGGAGAATTGTGATGAATATAATTGTAATAGAAAGACAAAGCAAAGGTCTTAGTTTGAACAGCAGAAGAACAGAAATAAAGGCAATGAAAAATAAAATATGTTCTTAAAATGCAACAGCGCAAAGTAAATGGGACATATCTGAATCATGTTCTTCTTCTTCTTCTTCTTCTTCTTCTTCTTCTTCTTCTTCTTCACTTCCTCTTTTACCGCTGTGGGTGTCGAGGGAGATATAAGGTTCTGTTTCTGGCTCTTCTGGCCGCCTCGACCATAGGCACATCGTGCTGTTGTAGAGTCTCTCTGATGTTATCCTTCCATATTGTTCTTGGTCTACCTCGTGCTCTACGACCTTCTTCTCTTTCCATGTATGCTTTGTATGGTATGGTGTCACAAGGCATTCTCTCTAAGTGGGTAAACCATTTCACTTGCTGTCTTCGTATGTAATCCAGAATTGGTTCTGTGCCGACTTTTTCTCTTATGATCTCATTCCTGATCTTATCTATTATGGTCACTCCTACAGCCCTTCTCAGACATCTCATTTCCGTGGTTACTAATTTTCTTTTATGGTTTGTTGTGGGTGACCATGTCTGGCACTGGTAGCACAGAGTTGGAATAAATATGCTTTGAATAAGATGTCTCTTTGTGCTAACTGGGATTGTCTTATGCTGTAAGAGGGAGGCTAGCTGTCCCAATACTTGGTTTGCTTTACTGCATCTAATGTTAATTTCTTTATCCAATTTCCCATCTTCGGTAAATGTAGTTCCCAGATATTTAAACTCAGATGCCTGTTTAATGCCTTTGCACTCTATTGCTATGTTTAGATCTGTCTTCTTTTTTCCTATTGACATTACTTCTGTCTTTTCAGTGTTGATTCTCATATTATTTGTTTTACATTCTTCATTCATGAATGTTAGATGTTGTTGTAATTTCATGGCTGTATCTGCTATCAAGGCCTGGTCATCTGCAAAGAGTACTTCGTTGATCTTACTAACATTTTCATTCATGGGCTTGGCATTCTTGCATATATTGTCGATGTAGGTGATAAACAGCAGTGGTGATAAGACACACCCCTGTCTTACTCCAGATGTTACTGTGAATGGATGAGATGTTCCCTGATTTATTCTAACTACACTTCTACAATCCCTGTATAAACTTTTGCACACTTCGATGAGGTGTTCGCTTACTCCATATCTTGCCATTACTTTCCATAATAATTGTCTGTCGACTCTGTCAAATGCCTTCTCCTGGTCTACGAATGCCACAAATAAGTTCTTATTGTATTCAATGTTCTTTTCTATTAAGTGTGAAGATTGCATCTGTGCAGCTTCTATTTCTCCTAAATCCCATCTGTTCTTCTGCCAGCTGTGGTTCTATCACTGGTCTCAGTCTTGTTTCTATTATCTTGGCATACATTTTACCAACATGGCTTAAAAGAGAGATGCCTCGCTATTGACCGCATTCTCGTTTGCTTCCTTTGTTCTTCCACAATGGTATAACTATTGCATGTTGCCAATCAATAGGGGCAGTTTGTTGTACCCATACTGCATTAAACATTCTGTGAAGCCATCTGATGCTGCTTCCACCTGCTGTTTGAATTATTTCTGTTGGTAATCTATCAGCTCCTGGTGCTTTATATCTGGGAGACTGCTTAATGACTTTTTCTATTTCATCCATTAGTATGTGTGGTTCTAACACTGTTGCTCTGTGCTCTTCAGTTGTTCTTTCCTGATGATCTCCTAGAGGATTAAAGAGCTCATTGAAGTATTCCCTCCATCTTTCTGCTATCTCGGGTGGATCTATCAATGGCCTTCCTGTTTTATCATTAATTATTTCAGTGGGTTTGTAGCTCTCATCTCTTTTCCGCATATTTTTAACTACTTTGAAAAATTTTCTGCTGGCTGTTTTCTCATTTTCTGCTAATGACTCACCGAAACGTTCCCAGGATGCTTGTTTTGCTTTCTTGACACTCCTGTTTGTTTCTCTCCTTTGCAGTCTATAGTTTATATAATCTTCTTCTTTCTTTGATTTTATCCACTGTTTGTAAAAGTCCTTTTTCTTTTTAATTGCCTCTTTTACCTCTTCGCACCACCAAGGTGAATATTTGTTATTTCCCCGTCTGTTTCCACTCTTCCGTTTTCCACATAATTTTTCTGCTCCATTCTTCCTCAATATTACCAACTACATGTGGAAGTTGTTCGAATGCTGTCTCTACTTTCTGTTGTAACTGTTCTTTTACTCCTTCCTGTTTCAGATTTGCTATCTTGATGAGATCCTTGTTTTTTTGTTAATTTCTTTCTGTGTTTCTTTAATGTAAGATGTTTTGCTGTTAACACAACTATTTTATGCTCAGTGTCACATAGACCACTAGGGATTGCTCTTGAATCAAGAATTCTCCTTCTTCCTTGAACTTTGGTAAGCATAAAGTCAATCTGGCTCTTGATGGAGACATCATTCCATTTGTACCAAGTGTAGAGTTGTGAATCTCACAACTGAATCATGTTAATAGGTTTAAATGCTACTGTAGCCTAACAACAGTAGATACAAGATGTATTCGAGAAGTTATGTAAAATAACTCAAGCAACAGCACTATTTTTAACAACAACAAAATAAGATGAAAAAGAATATGCTAAGCAATCTTTCTTTGTGTGTTGCTTTACTTGTTTACTTACTAGTTGACGTGAAAAAGGGTCCTTTACTTACATTGTCTTTCTTCTTTCGTCTGCACCCGCCACAGCAACAAATTTTGGCATAGATGAAACGGAAAACGTCGGCCATGACACTGCCTATGTTGGCTAGGCACAGTAACATCAAAGGGATGCCCAGAACAGCATAGGCGATACACACCAGTCGACCCCAGACCGTCTTTGGAGCAATATGGCCGTAACCTAGAAAATGTTGCATGGTTATTTCGATGGGGATTTTCAAGTATTGTTTCGTATCGTGGTAATGAATGAATTGAAAGGTCCAACTCAAAGCTCCAAATAAAATAAAAAAAAATAAAAAGCAATGTAAATAAACAATAACGTCTGCGCAGGCACACCGCCACGAAGAAAACATTGGTAGGAGCTCCGCACCCCTTTCTAATCAAACCCTTCTCACAGCCTAAGAAACGGGGAAGTCAAATCTCAAAGCCCGGGCTAAAAAAATAAGATCCCCCACCAAACGATCCTCACCATCTTACACATTTTCTTGGGGTGGGAGCCTCAGGTCCTCGAATCCCTCTCCACCACACCCCCCCCCCCCACACGCACTTTAACCATAGATGGAAATTATCTTTTAAAGTACTTGTTTATACATTTCATGTTTTTCAGTTATATCATTACATTTATTGACTACCCAGTACAGATTATTTTTCTTTATTTGCTGAACGACAGTATGAAAACCATGAGAACATTTAAATGGCTTTGCCAGGTTATGAGAATAAATCCTGATGTACTTGCCAAAACAGCTCTCACATGGACACCAGAGGGAAAGAGAAAGAAAGGGCGCCCAGAAAACGACATGAAGACGAACGATGGAGAGTGACCTGATCTCTGACATGGAAAACTGCACTGAAGATTGCACAGGACAGGAAAGCATGGAAAGTCCTCTCTGAAGATGATGATGAATATGTTGAATGGCAAATAAATGTAACAATATTGTTGAAAAAATATGAACAGTGGAAACAAATACTTTAAATAAAAATTGTATCACAGCTAAAGACCGTGTCTCAGTCTTCCTACAATTTATGGGGAGGTTGATTCTTCATGACGGTGCACCTGCCCGGACACATATAGAGGAAGGGGATGTCATTCGCTTACAAAGTGCAACATTCTATTTTAAGCATGAGACTCTAGAACTGCCTTTCTAACACAAAGCAGTTGTGGCACTCAAGTACACATACATGCACACATACATTGTTATAGTCTTTTGCTCGTTCCACCTAGTCGTGGTTTTCAATGTGGCTGATGACCAGTTTACGTATGGGCTGCATGGCAGCCGAAGTTGGTAACGGTCACTTGTCAACACCTTTAGGCGTATTGGGAATAATATAGGTCTACATCCTATATTTTGTCAGACTAATGGGCATTGTCATTTTGGAAAAACAAAAAGTCCGACTCCGTTAGGACGCGAACCCACGACCTTCCGATCATAGGCGGGCGTCTAGCCCGACTCCCAGCCGAAGTTGGTACTTTCGTGCAAATTTCGTTCTGTTTAACTCTTGCCGAGCAAATCTGTACTTTTTATACCACGCCAGGTGTTTTAGCATTTTTTTTTTTTTTTCTAAATATAAATTTTGCATCGGTATTTTGATAGGAAGACATAAAGACAATTTAGAAATTAAATTAAAAAACAACACCCTGAGACAAACAGAGGAATTTAAGTAATTGGGAGCAATTTTTTTCATCAGACGGAAAACTGGACAGAGAAATTAGCTCCAGATGTGCCAAAGCTAATCAAGTAATGGGTCAACTATCTCCTCTGTTGAGTACTAAAGTTAATCTTATCAGAACTATTTTTTGGCCAACACTATGCTATCAGTGCCAAACGTGGACACATCCTCAAATGAACGTAAAATTGTGACAACAGAGATGAAATGCCTTAGAAGAGCTGCAGGAGTTTCAAGGAAAGACAGAATACGAAATCATGAAATCAGACGAATGCTAGGAATAAAGTCAGTCTTACAGGTCATCAAAGAACAATAAATGAAGTGGTTTGGACACCTAAAAAGAATGCCCTGGTACTATCCGCCACAGCGAACCACACTAAAACGTTACAACGGGTATAGAGCGAGTGGAAGACCTCGGAAAATATGGAGTGATGGCATTAAGAACAGCCTTACAGAAATAAACATCAGTCCTAATAGGGCTCTTGACAGAGCCCATCAACGAACATTACATCTCCCCCCGACACTTCGATGAGGTACAAGGTGGAAGAGAAGAAGAAGAAGAAGATTTTGAATGTCTGCATTGTGTTGAATTTTTTGTTGAACCAGTCTTTTTTTTTTTTTTTTTTTTTTTTTTTTTTTTTTAAGAACACTACGAACAAAGAAATAGAGAAAAGAATAAACAAATAATTAAAAATGAACCATCCAATGCAGAACAAAAACCAAGAGAAAAATTATGGTTTATACTTTAAGAAGGAAAATGTTATGAAAATCACTTTCCATAAGGACAACAATGTGTGCTTAGTCTTTTGGCATTACCTCATCCGTCTGCAGCTGCAGAATGTTATATCCTTTTAACAATATTAAGATAAAACTTCGCTCTTCTTTGAAGACTTCAACAATCAATGCATTGATGACATTAAATGTATTGCTCTAAAGCATTAATTGCACCAACTGGAAGCCATTACAACAGTTTTGTAACAAACGGAGCGGGAAACACAATGGTACGCCCTTGATGTCATGGATACGGAATTTTAATTCTGATCAAATATTTAGTCTGCCAGTTTTCTACACACACACGCACACACACACACACGTGTCATTGTGTGTGTGTGTGTGTGTGTGTGTGTGTGTGTGTGTAGAAAACTGGCACTGCGCGAGGTTGGTTTTTTTGACAGACCTTTAACCGTTTTTTTTTTAATAACAAATAAAAAATATGGTACCTTTTGGTGTGTTTCTGCAACTTTCCCCCCAAAGATTTGCTACTATTCCCAAAACAATTTCAGCAGCCTTTTTTTTTTTTTTTTGAATAAAAATGTTCCCACGGTGCCCTAACCTAAGTAAGAGAATGACTATTTGTATGTACTCTGATTTCAAACCACGGGCAGATGAGGTTCGCCAGCACGGGAGTGCAGCTCATCTAGGAGAAGGTAAACTCTGACTACACACCTCCGCTGCCTTGTGGCCATACCCATTTTTGGGAAAGCGCTTCGGGAGTAAACCCTGAGGAAAAATCCGGAGCTGGAATCCCTAAGGCGGTTTAGCATTGTATACAGTGCTATTCCGGCAATTCCTGCAACGTCCTCGGTGCCAAGTTGTACTGGTTTTTGCCTTTCCCTTGGTATCACCGGCGACGTAGAGAGGGGGTACTTGCTGCCTGGGCAACAGTCTGTACTCCAAATCAAAACGCCCTGGCCTGTGCCCTGGAGAGGTCACTCCAGCGATGCTTAACAGTTTCGACACAACACGGAAAACAGCAGTCACCGGTTATAAGTCTTTGCTCAACTGGCGTAGAGCTAGGCGCCAGGGGTTGTTTCCGACGGTGGGAGACACCATCGTAGTCTCATTGGACAGCTACCGCCCGCCTCAGCTGGGCAGCCCCCAGTCAGTAAGGTGTTCTCCCGCCACGATCCGTTTGCCTTGTTGGGTGCACAGGGCTTAGGGGATAACCCGACATACGAATTGTAATCCTTGTACCTACACAAAGAAGCCAAAAAATCAGATTCCCAGCTCTAAAGCTGGGCACATGGAACGTGAGGACCATGACACCTGGTATTCTGGACGATCTGCAGCATATGAGCGATGTAAGGAAAACTGCAGTCATTGAGGAGACAACGGAGAGTAAAACTGACTCACAACGAGGGAGTATCTGCTTTTGTGTGTATCCTGTGTGGCAAAGGCTGCCATTCCCGCATCGCACTTTACAGTCACAGCAGATGCTGTACCCAGCGGCACATCTCCATAGTCCCTCGGGACTGACGGGTGGCATTATTATTATTATTATTCGTATGTAAAAGATAAAAAAAAATTAAAACGCGTTTATCCTAGAATATTTTCCGGCGCCGCTGTAAAGAGGTCGCGGCTCAACGGGGCTCCGCGTCGCAGTTTTGTAGTCACTGCCTTACCTAATAATTGTACGTGTGTATAGCTACTTTTTTGTGACCGACTACTTCCATAAACAACAAACTGCATTTATGGTGGGGACTGTTTGGCTATTTGCTCTCTAGCCACTGCCTTATGCATTTACTGCGTGAGCATATTTCCAAATCGTGTCGGACTAATTGTTCATTCTCCAGTTTTTCAAATGGGACATTTAATTTCATTATCACTGGCACAGGAATATAGCATCTATTGGGTGACCAATTTGCAGTGACGTTGAAACCTCATGTAAGACTAATACAAAGGCTCGTTCCATTTGAACTATTTTTTTTATTTCCTTTATCTTCAAACATGTTTTTATTTTATTTATTTTTTTTTTTCATTTATAAAATCTGGCCACAACATTACACCATAACACTGCAGAATGAGGAAAGGACAGCGGAAAAAACAGAACGCCGAAATGAAAACAATTGTTTGCCGATGTCTAACCACCCTACCCGCCTAATTGGCTGGGCATTGTGTGATAAATGGCCCGCCTAAAACTATCGATACTCTCTTCCGGTTCGTCTCCAGGCAACTGGGACTCAACGCAGTTCTGTTTCCTGATGGCGCTTATACTGAATTGGCCGCCTGGTGTGTCTAAAAGTAATCTTTTGTTGCATCGCCACAAAAGAAAGAAATTTGAGTACCTGTTCCATTTAAAAGGGAAGATTTTGAACCATATTCCAATAACATTTTAACACAGCCTTTGATTGTATTCTAGACAGATACAACTGTTTATCTTCAATTGTATACTGGAAAGATAAAAATAAATGTGTTTTTTTCCAGGTATATACGAGAGTAGTCAAAAAGTGTGTCACAAACGGCTGAAAAAAAAATTTAGACGATAACAACTTGAACACCGTTTATTTTTTATACATGCACTGTCTCTTTATTTTTCAAAATAATTTCCACCAACATTGATGCATTTGTCCTATTGTTGTATCAGTCTTCCCAAATTTGCTGCTAAGTACTGCGTGCTGTTTTCTAAACCATATTTTCTCTTCACATTAAACTTCTGCGTCATTCGTGAAATGTCTCCCGCAAAGGTGGGTTTTCGGTGTACCAGAAAGGTGGAAATCCCTCTCTCAGTATGAACAACATGAGTGAAATCCGAAAGGAAGCCCATGACGGGAAAACAAGTCAAACCAAATCAAGAATTGGTTTCTGGGAACGATGGAAAGTCATCTGAGTGCCGCATCTCTGACATGGAAACCGCACTGAATATTGCACAAGAAAGGAAGGCATGGAAAGTCCTTTCTAACGCCTCATGTGAAACCACGCATAAAGAGAACTGAGAAAAAAAAGTGGAAATCGCTAGGGGCTAAGTCGGGACTGTAAGGTTGATGTTCCAGAAGTTCCCAGTCTAGATGGTTAATTTTCTCTTGACTTAATCGAGTCGTATATGGTCTGGCTTTGTCATGAAGGAGCAGTACCCCTCTAGTCAACAGGCTTGGACATTTTCGTAACCTTGAGTTTTCCAACACAAGGCGAAAAAGGATGTTTCCATTGTATTGAAGCACGCTTTGATTCGGGGTAGTAGTGATGCAACCATGATTCGTCCCCAATAATAATCATGTTCAGCATGTCTCCTCCTATATCTGCCTATCAACAGGGATGCTGCAAGGACAGGCCTAGTCGGTTCTTTCTGTGTTCGTCTGGGTACCCACCTTGAGCATACTTTCTTGAATTTCAGTCGATCATGCATTATGCTGTATGTTAAACCATGTGAGCACTCTATTGCAGCTGCTACGGCCTCAACCGTTACTTGCCTGTCACCTCTACACATGTCCTCCACCCACTGCACGGATGCGTCTGTTGCAATCTCAACAGGACGACCAGATCATATTTCATCAGCAATCGTAGAAGACCCTTAAGAAAAATCTTTACCCAGCTATGCACCGCTTTACGTGATAAACATTTGTCAGCTTAAACAGGAAGCCATCCTGTTGAATGTCCTTATCAGATTGTCCTTTTGTTTAAGTTTTGTGAATGCGCATGCAACACCTAGCTCTACCTAACGAACAGAGACATAAAGTTCGATGTTGCTGTCATCCAATGACACCTTGAGAAACCACCAACTACATTTTCCTGTCATCACATAACCATTTGTGACTGACTTACTTATTGACTTCCCTTGGTATATTAAAAAATATTAACTGATTCAGAGAACAACGAGGGACCGAGATCTGTTGAGATTCATGAACGCCTACGCCAGTCAGCAGGCACGTGATGATAATTTTGATTGTTAGAAAGACTTTTCTTAAAGTTTCCTAGGGTTTCCTAGTCACACTCGCCGTTGCCATGGGATGTGATTCCCGTGTGTCTCTACAGCATAATACAACACTATCGTCTGGAAAGTTGGCAACCAACAATGAACGATGATTTATATAGAAAGGGGGGGGGGGGAGAACCACATTGTGTGTGTGTGCGTGCGTGTGTGTGTGTGTGTGTGTATTTTTGTTTTTTATTAAAACAAAAAGTAAGTCATATTTATAATGTGATATCTAGGAAGATTTTGTGGTCGAAATAAAGTGAAGGTTTGCGTGCCTCTGCTTGATAGTCAATATAATGCGAAGTGACTTACCTATGGTTGTTATAACAGTAACAGAAAACATAAGTCCACCGGCCCAAGACCATTCATACACTGGACCATTTTCTTTGCCATACAAGTTACAAGACCGTCCGTCGTACCCAATGGCAAGGGTGTTGTCCCGAAAAGTTTGCAGTATGCTCTGAAGCTGAATGATCATCAGTTCTCTGAAACGGTTTATAATGTTAGTATTTAATACAAGTAGGCTCTGTGGCTAAGTCGATGCTAACGCTTCGTATTGTCGGGATGCCGGGTTTGATCCCAGCTGCGGGCCATGCGCCTTGCGTTGGTTTCGACAGCGGTAACAAGAAGGCCGACCGTCCAGACGGCAATGGCAAACTACTGGACGTAAATTTGCCTAGAAAAACCACACAACAGCTAGGTGCTGTTGGGATTGGTTCTGCAACGTTCTTAAAAGTGATCATGGTTCCCATGGTCTTCCTCTTCTTCTTCTTCTTTTGTCGTCTCGCGGATACCAGGTTGTAGCCAATTGTCGTGTTTTCTGTATTTGTCTTGCGCTTCTTGTGTGGCTTAAAAGATGGATTTGTTCATCTTTTTGTAGGTTTCTGCTATGCCATTTATCCATATCTTTCTTGGTCTTCCTCTCGCCTTCCTCCTAGATGTTCTGCTGTAGAAAGTCTCATATGCAGTTCAATCTGGTTGCAGTCTTATGGCTAAACCATTTCATTATTTGACTGTCAATATATTCCAGACATGGTCTTTTTCCAACTTTCTCTCTAATGCTGGTATTCGTGACCCCATTCGTTTCCATGGTCGACCCAGCCTAAAATTGCACTAGGAATTTTCTTATGAAGTAAAGACGGTTGAGGAAATGTTCACCACATCACCCATCGAGTGTCAGTGGGTCTATAAAATATGAGTTTAACATCATATGTCCGATGTTCCACTAGCGTAGAAAGGGTCATGTATTTTATTTTACTTTAAATTACTCATGTCTAAACTGGATTGAGCGTCGTTCGTGGCTTAGGCGTTGCGAGTCCGACTCGTAATTCCAGGGTACTGCGATCGAATCCCACTGCTGACTGCGTGGATTTTTATCATGGTATGGGGCATCACAGGTCGACCCAGCCTAAAATGGGTACCACGACGTATGTCCGGGGAAGTAAAGACGGCCGGCGTAATGCTGACCACATTACCCACCTAGTGCCGATTGGTCTGTAAAAATATGGGTGCTCTTCCCATATGCTCAATGCGCCTAAAGACGTGAGAAGAAATCTTTACTTATTACACACGATTGGCTCATGACAACTGCGTTGTTAATGTCTGCCGGATGAATTTTTAAACTGCAAAATGGGCAAAATAACTAACGCTTTTCACTTAAGACATTGTTGTATAATTTAAATATAAACATAGGGCAAATAAAATAAATATTCCTTTTCCACGTTTTCAGATCTGCCACGGGGTTACCCATTGGCTTGCCGGTAGACGACTCTTTCACCGGTCGGGACAGTATTTGGGTCTGCCTCTCTTGATCGCTTCAACACTACAGAGGTCCTTTTCAGCGGCCTTGATGGCGTGCAATGCTAAGCCATTTTTTATGGCGCAAATAACCTAGTCACAAATATAACCTAAAGCTTCCCCTTCGGCGATGCTGGCTGAACGTGACAAATTTTTTCCCCCAGTAAAGCAACGGAACTGAACCCACGCTTTGAGCACTGAGGTTTTTGGTGCCAACTCTATAATTTTAGACCAGTCAGCACCTGATGGCTGAAACAAGACAACGACCTGGCCGCTTCGAGATACTAAGCTAAGTGATTGTGTGTATTGGTGTGGGATTGTTTTATTTATGTATGTGCTGATGAAGGCTCCATAGCCGCAACGTTCACGTTTTGTTTGTGTTCGTTATATTGTGAAGCTTGCTGATATACTTTTTGTTTGGTTTTACATCTTTTCTTGAGCACCTGATGGATGAATCGGTCATCTTCATCAATCAGCAGGTCATTTACATATTGTGCTTTACAGAGTTCGTGCACTGGGCTGAAAATTTTCACACTCAGGCTTGAGTCAGAAGTAGAAAGGAGCACTTATGGGTTACTCCAGTGTGTCATGATGTTGATCCGTCGAAAAAAAAATATAACAAACAAAAACATGCCCCGCCTGCACACATCATTAAATCCTAGAAGAGGTCGTCGACCCTTACATCTGCCCATCCATAATTCTTCCACAGAGGCTGTCCTAAGGGTCTCTACCTTACTCTAAGTGTGGGTTAAAATACAAAGTTTTATCTTAAAGGTGATGAAAGTAAAATTAACATAAGCAAGTAATAGAAATAGAAATAGAATGCGACTGTGGCAGGACAGACACTGTTCGAACTTCTCGGAATTATATTTGACCTGGTACACCTTTCAAATAAACCGCTGTTTGAGTTGACATTAAGACCCCCCCCCCCCCACACACACACACACACACACACACACACACACACACTCATACATACACACACACACAAACACACACATGCATTGGAATATTTCAGTTAATTTTCTTCTCTAGACGCCGCCTTCATAATCCCCGAATATTAAAGGGCAACAAGGAAGTGCTCTTAAAAGATATGGCAGACTTGTTCATTCGATCGAGACTGAAACAAGTTACCATTGATTTCTCTGGAAGGGAACAACTGTGAGGAAGGGGGTCGATCACAGTAGATGAATTTTTTTTTGCTTCTTTCAACACCATTACGGTGTTTGTTATGGGTATTACCTTATAACTTTAAACGAAACAGCTAACATTTAAGTTCAGTCATCATCATCATCACCATCATCAAGTACCTTTGCGTTGGCGATCATGCCTCTCCACAACTTGCCATCTCCAGCAGCATTTATTATTTCATGAGATGGGTCTATTCTATGACATCACAAAGGGTTCTCAAGAATCTTTACTACTTTAGAGATTCGACGAAGTGACGCTTAGAAGGACCCACAAAAAATAAGTTTCATGATCTGAGTTGTAGTTGGCAAACGGTGGACTTGATGGTCATCGTTTCCCTTTAGCATTGGGATCCTTAAGATTAATACCTCAGGGACGAGAATCAAACAGGAGCGAATCACAGAAACCCAGTTCAACCGTATAGAGATATATATTTGCATACCCCACCAGTTCAAAAGTACCCTTCAGCTCCAATGTGGGGATTGGCATATTAGCAGGAACACATTGGAAAATGGGTCTAGCTCTTCATTTATATACACCACTTGGTATTCGAAGAGCGGTGTATTCAGTTTGATACCAGTACCCTTTACTTCTCAGAATATTTTATGGTATTCGCTCTTAGGTTTCTTCAACATGGCCAGCTCATATCAGTTTTAAAAATCCGTCACGATGAGGATTCAAACCTCCGACTCAATAGACAATGACACTAGCAACAATCTTACCATGGTGAACCAATAAATCACCTTATTTTTTTAAAAAAAAAGCAATTGTTGAAAACAATTCCATTTTGTAAATTTAAATAACTCTGGCATAAACAATATATTTTACTGCCATGATTATTGTATCTCGTCAGGTGCGCTGCTGCAGTTACATAAACATATAATGAAGCACAAAACTGAATAAATTCCACTGAAATTTAAACTGTCTCTCTCGACACATTGTTCGCCTAAACGCTGAAAGTTCACGATTATCCCATGATTTACTTGGATGACTTCAAATTTATGTTGAATTCATTGTGTTTACACAAGGGAGTATTGTTTCGTTTTATTTTTTTTAATTGTTATTAGAAACGACTCTTACCTGGTTTCTGCTGTGGTAACAGCTCCTCCATAATCGTAAAATATCTTCAGGGTCGAGTTTATGGTCTTATTCTCCATCGGTATATATTCATAATAGGAATCGTAGCAAATCTGCTGTTCGTTGTTCTTCTCAAGATGCTCAAAGATGAATCCTCCTGCGACGCAGTAAAGGATCACCATACCGCACAGACCAACGTGAGAGAAGAGGATCTTCATGATCTTTCTACACAAGGGGTGGTTCTTTCTAGGTGCTCCCATCATTTGTTGTTTTTGGTTCTTTCGAAAATGTGTTCTATGAATTCTTTGTTGATGTTTTGATCGTTTGAATCCAGTCAATCTAGTTTCGTTTTATTTCCCTAAATAAACCAGCAGTGTGTTAGATGGAACCCATGTATGCTAAGAAGAATCTTAGATAACTTGCTGATTCATGCGAAAGTTAAATTTTAAAGTTGTTTCTTATACCTATTAGGCTACACTCTGTAGAAGGTACACCACCAAAAACAACACACTGGAATGTTTGCTTAAAAATCATAAAACGGTAACGAAAGTTGTTTAACTGTAAAGATCTTAAAGGCCTCTGGCTTTGGAAAGAAAACATTTTAAGCTTTGTGGGAAAGGGGGTCATCAGGCAAACGAGGGAAATCACAGAGTTAAAATTCTCACGTGTATGAAAAGGTTACATCCACAGAGAGGTCGCCAAAGATTGGTAAGTGATTTTATCATGCTTATCATAACTCGCGAGGTCAACAAAGGACATCTCTGTATCATCATTTATTCAACATTATTTACAAACAGAATCGCGGTGAGGAAGGAGTTTCGTTCATGGAAAATATCTTTCTCGTTAACTGAAATCATCATCATCACACACATCAAGTGCCTTGTCCAATGGTATGGGCGATCAAGCATCCCCACAATCTACAATCTTCAACTGCTTGTATCAGTTCGTGTGTTGACATTCCTTCATGCCATGACAAAAAGCTGAAATAATCTTTTCGTGTTTTCTTCTCATTTTTTTTTTTTTTTTTAGTGTTTTTGTTTATAGTGATCTTTTCAGTCGTCACTTCATGTTTCCGTTTTTTTTTTTTCGTGTCTTAACACACATGACCAAAACACTGACATGCAATGATGGGAGAGAACATAAATGAAGAGTAAAGTTCCTGCAAGAAAAGTTGAGGTCGGCTAAGTACATCGATGGGCCCAGGATGTCAATGATACTAGTAATAATAAAAGATTAGCCGCGAGAAATTTGACAGGAAACGAGTGACTTTCCGGCGTGCCTTCGTGAGATCGGATTTTTACCAAGGACTTGCTGAATGATGATGATGACGACGATGGTGACGCTAACGATGATAATTTGTTGATCTTCGTATAAAATTAATTGCATCGGGCTTTTTCAAATATGATAAGGTTATTATGCTTATCTCGCGTTGGAGGATTGGGGGGGGGGGTAGGGGGGGGGGGTGGAAAAGGGGGGGGGGGTCACAACAAATAAATGCAGGTGCGCAGAGGCAAAGAAAACTAGAGCTGCCGGTGGTAGGTCAGCTGTCCCCTCCTTTACCTTGCTCATTTTCTAGTCAAAATGGGAAGGGACCCAGTGGGAATAATTCTAGTTTAGACGCGTAATAAAAATAACTTAATAATATTGTGCTGAATTGCAAGTATATATACATCTCTCATCTTCTTTCTTCTTCTGCCTTTCTATCCCCCAGTGGAGCATAGGCCCTTAACCAACTCACGCCAAGTCGTTTTATCCTTCGCAATTACATGGAATTCTCCCTATGTCCTCCCCATCTTTTTAACATCATTCTCCAGCTCTCTTCATGTATTTTTGGCCTTTCTTTATTCCTATGCCACTGTGGGTTCTAATGCTATGTTTCATTTCCTTTGCTACTTCCATTGTTCTTCCTATATCATAGAGAGTTCTAACATTCCAAGTGCCAGTTCTGGAGGTTTTCCTAGCTGAGAGGAGGTACGTTGACGATCTGGACTCCTTTCGGCTTTCTCCACAATTTCTCCACTTGAAGAGCCTCCATTCATCTTGGTTGGCTGGGTTTTAATTGCTTCTCTTTTTGACTTATCCATGGTTGGTTGGTTTTTGTGGCTATTGTTTTTACAGGATGAGGTATCCAACCTCAAGCCCAACCTTACTCTTAGTCGCCTCTTAAGACATGTCTGGTAGGGTGCAGTGTTACTATTCTTTGCTTCCCGTAAGGGCCCCCGGTATATATATATATATATATATATATATATATATATATATATATATATATATATATATATATATATAAAACAATGTGAAAAGCATACACAAAAACTATAAATAATTTATTTACATGGCTAGGGGAGACCACTTAACCCTCACCGCCGCAACACCCCACCCCCACAAAAAAGGGAGGTGGTCAGGGTGCTCGGGGGACTCGAATAGTCCACAACAATTGACGGATTCATGCAAAAATAACTAAGAAATTCTTGTCTTTGGAATTTAAAAAAAAAAGCTGCTGACATTGCAGTCTCATGTGCTAACGGTTGGAATAAAACATGAAAAGACAGAAAAAGATAACAGGTCATTAAAAGGGTAGTTAATACACTTAATTAAAACATTATATCTCCCTCGACAACCGAAGCAGTAAAAGGAGAAGTGAAGAAGAAAAAGAAGAAGAGGTTAACACACTCAACCATCTTTGTTTCTACATGAGTAGTATTAGTAACAAATCAACAATATCATTTCCACCCCAATCGGGTTTTCATAGTATTTCGGGGTTGTTGTTTTTTTCCTTTTTATTTTAATAATGGATATTATGCGTATCGATTATGTTTGGTTCTTCAATATTGCATAGCTTATGTATTAATTCCATGCGCCTTGCGTTGGTTTCGACAGTGGTATCAGGGGGCCGACCATCCAGAGGCAATGGCAAACTACTGGACGTAAATTTGCCTAGATAGACCACACAACAGTCAGGGGCTGCTGGGGTTGGTTCTGCGACGTCCTGTAAAGGATACGCAACTAACCTAAGATGTAATAATTGTATAAAATTGTAGGTGTATGGTTTGTCAAGTTCAATATATTTCAAATGTGTTTTAAAACAACTATAGCAATTATAAATTAAACTCTATCTTTGCGAATGTTTGAAGTGATCTGAGATTCCATGGTTCTGTCTTAACATGTATTAACATCCCATATGCTAACATTTGTTCTTGTGATATGATAAACTGTTTAATCCTTCCCTAAAGTTCTCTAAAGCTGCCTACTCCTAGCCTATTTCCTAGTGTCACAGGCCTTTGCAGTGGATTATATATTCATTAGGGGCATATTTTGAAGTACGTATTTCTTGCAGTTTAGTAAATAATGTTTAATATTATAATGTATCTGACACACAGAACAGGTGTCTCTGCTATAGTGAAATAAGCCACTTCAAGTTGCACTCTTAGCAATTTCTTATTCCATGTGAATTTTTAGTTCACCTGTTCTTTCTAAATTAAATTCTTCTCCTTCTTATTTTGAGGTCTCATTGATACCAGGTTGTATCCCAGTGTTGTTGTCTTACATTAGATTAAACACTTGTATGTATGCCCGGATTACAATTGCCGTATATCATTAAAAACACCAACTAACACAATGTTTAATTTCACTATTATATAATATTAGGAATCCGATTTTCATATACACAGTGTTTCTTTTTGGCTGTACGCACCGATTCTCAGAACAGTTACCTTTTAAGGCATCCGTTTTCATCATTACTGTGATGTAGGTACAGTCACATAATTTTTTTTAAGCCTTGCTTATGGCCATGTATAATATATATATATATATATATATATATATATATATATATATATATATATATATATATATATATATATATATATATATATATATATATATTATATATATATATATATATATATATATATATATATATATATATGTGTGTGTGTGTGTGTGTGTGTGTGTGTGTGTATATATATATATATACGAAATACTAAATCTCACACTTATGCTACTATTTACGCACGCGCATGCACACTCACGGGAAGTTTAATAATGTAGTTTAATAATGTAGTTTAATAATGTAGTTTAATAATGTAGTTTAATAATGTAGTTTAATAATCCCCGCAGCTGAATCACAGTCACACGCTAGCCATACGACTGGTGAGCGAATGACTGCGCCAAGAAAAACAGTTTGATTCCGTAAATCTGCTTGATAGAGTCTGGCCGCATGATCACCACAATAGATCGATGTCATTGTATTTTGTGCTATCCGTTGCCTTGTGACTGGTTAATTCTGCAAAGCCTTTGAACTTGCACAGCAGTTAGTATTTATTTCTTCAACCAAACCTTTCTCGAAACAGAGGTTTCAATCTTTACATTTCTTGCTTTTGGAGGGTCCCAGTAGTAGTAGCAGAAGCAGTAGTAGTAGTTGTAGTAGTAGTAGTAGTAGTAGCAGCAGCAGCAGCAGCAGCAGTAGTAGTAGTAGTAGCAGCAGCAGCAGCAGTAGCAGTAGCAGCAGCAGTAGTAGTAGTAGTAGTAGTAGTAGTAGTAGTAGTAGTAGTAGTAGTAGTAGTAGTAGTAGTAGTAGTAGTAGTAGTAGTAGTAGTAGTAGTAGTAGTAGTAGTAGTAGTAGTAGTAGTAGTAGTAGTAGTAGTAAAGAACAGACAAAACAATTTGAAAAAAAAAAAAAGAAGAAACAATTACAATGTAAATAAATGACGGCATTGAGTATTGTTTAATAAAAATGCAAAAAATATTCACGGAACGCCTCTAAATATACAGTATAGACACATACTTGTAAGCGTTATATGTTGAAACGTTGAGCAATTTTTTTTCCTTCTCTCTAAAACGTGTAGTGTATTGTTGACAACATCCTTGGACTGCCAATGGATTCTCAGCAGGAAAAGGTTACCGCTGAGTAGAATGGGGCATGCAGGTCTACAACCTAAAGTATGGAGAGGTGGTTCTGATTACTGCATCTTCGAAGTGGTTACGTTAATTCGATAACTAAATTTCTTATCAGTTTAAAATTGACAAATGAGGCGTGAGTGAGTACCGGGAATAGAAGCTTCTCTTTAACGAGAACACAGCGAATAAGTATCTTGAAGCATGAGGACATTACAATAGTCTCATAATCAGTTTTATTTAAAAAAAAAAAAAAAGGTAAGTACACTAAGCGAGACAATCGATCGATCGGTTTGTTCTCTTCGGACTGCTACTTAAAGGTTTATTGTGTGAGGTTTAAATATCTCAGTCTGGGTGGCAACTA